AGGAGCCCTCCCCAGTGCTATACCTGTGCAGCTGGGGCAGCAACGTGCCATGGCAAGTCTCCCTTGGGAGGGCAGGGAGACTGATGATAACCCCAGGCAGCGCTTGAACACCTTGCCCCATCGCAGGGATTCCTTTGCAATCAGCATAACATTGTTCTGCAGGCTGGAGACATCGTGGAAAACCTTTGATCCAGCCTTTCTTCACCTGGGGGCAGCAGACAAATCAGATGGCTTCTCCTGATAACCAAAAGGAATTTGTTGTTTTTTTCAAGACAATCAGAAGTTCATTACTAGAGTTGTCCAAATAAAAGTTACAGTTTCATCACTTCTATTCCCCTCCCTCAGCCCAGTCAATGGATCACACAACAAGTGCTAGTTTAATTGCTAAATTATGCTTTGCTAAATTTGGCCTTGAAATCTAATTTTGAAATTAAAATCAACTGGGTTTCAACTTTTATTTCAGAAGTTACAAAATTTTGACTATTCCAGCCTGTTTCTTCACTAATTTGTTTGTTTGTTTTCCTAACTGCCTATTTTTGGTTTTTGTAAAGAAGAATCTATCCCCCCCAAAATTATCTTTTTCTCCATTGTCCTTCTTCTTCTGATGGCAGAATGAAGTTCAAAGTTTCTAGGTTTGGCTAGAAATAGTAATAGCAAGCCAATGTTCATCATCTAGGCTTGAGTGATGTCATGCTAACACTGCCAGGGCCAGGACTGCAACTGGAGTTGCATATCTTGGAGGACATGTCAGTGCTCTGCCAAAGGATCTGCAGCCCATGCAGATTCATTGCTGTCAGTGGTGTTAGCAGTGACATGGGAATCCCTCAGGAGCCCCTCAAAAACTGAAAGCATAACAGAATGTGGAAGGGGAATCATGTTGAGCAGCTCCAGACCTTCTCTGGGAGGCAGGATCCAAAGAAGTGTGGAGAAAGACATGAAGGACAAGTAAATCTATTGATTCAACAGTTATGGTCATGGTCATGGGAAAACATCTTCTAACTGCACTTTACCTTGTTCAGAGTTGTCTTTTATGACACTTGTCAGTCTTCTATACTGGGCTTCAAGTCTGTGCTGGTTACCTGCAAAACACTCAGGAGCTGCCAGTGCTTCAATAATAGTCTGAACCAGCAAAGTACAGCACTGACTGACAGTGCTGGTTGGATATTAGGAAAACCTTTTTTACAGAAAGGGTAATCAGGCATTGGAATGTGCTGCCCAGGGAGGTGGTGGATTCCCCATCCCTGGAGGTTTCCAAGCTGAGACTGGATGTGGCACTTAGTGCCATGGGCTAGTAACAACAGTAGGGCTGGACTCGATGGTCCTTGAGGTCTCTTCCAACCTGGTTGATTCTATGAGTCTATGATTCTATGACAGGAATTCCACTGAAATTATCCACTCCTAAATACTGCATCCCCAAAAGGTACAGGCAATTTGGAAGGAATTAAAATGCAGCTGTAGAAAAGAGAAGATATGAATTATAAGACTAAAGGGCTGAAAGTCCTTCAAGCCGCAGAGAGAAATCTCTGGGGAGTGATTTTTATCTGAACCCTATCTGATGATAAAGACACCATAGAACAGGAAGTGAATTCTGTGTGCTAAGGACACTTGGGGTTGGCAAGAAGGAGGCTGAGAAACACTGAGCTGGAAGCATTGCTCAGGCACAGAGCTCCTGGACAGAGCACTGGGGTTCAGGAGGAGTGAGCCCAGAGCCCAGTGGGGAGCCAGAATTTCTTTTCCAGGCGATAGTGAGCCAAAATAGTGAAGTGCTGCACAAAGCAGCCATTCCTGAGGAATCATTCCAAGCAATTCTATCCAGAATAACACATTCCTGGTTCCGGTCTGTGGCTACCCCCAGACTGTGCATGCAGTTGTGTGGTTTGTTTGTGTGATGCCGATCCACAGCAATCTCAGCTATGTGCTTTGGCCCAAACCTTTGCTTCTGTGTTGGGTTTGGTAAAGCCACATGGTTCTAAACCTGTAAGATTAGTTACTGCCTTACCATAGCTCAGGTCTGGTAGCTGTCACATAACTGCCATAAAATGCTCAATGCAAATGTTTCTATTTTCTTCTTTCCTGGAATTATTTTCTTTTCCTGTGTATTACAACACAGCAATTAATAGCAATCAGTGCAATTTCTGTTTTGTAACTAAATCTTGACAGTTTGCATTGTATTTTGGGAGCTGCTTACAATGAAATACTCCGAAGGGAATAACTGTATCACACATATGCCTAAATGAGACAAAAGTGAGCAAGATCTGAAGGATTTCTACAGAAATGTTGTACCTTTTATATATCTGCTCTTTTCCTTCTGAGTATGCATACTTTGCAGTGAACTCCCATATGCAACAGAAGAGCAGGCACATTTTTTGAATTGGCATGTCTGTATATCCTTTTCTTGTTTGTGACTACAGATCAGTGTATGTCCTCAGGCATAACTCCAAGTGCTGTCGTGATCATTCAGGCACAGTGTTCTTTTAGCTGAGAGACTTCTTGCAGACTATGGCACTGTCCAAGCAATTCTTGATGCTTTGGACAGCTGTTAATCATTGTTCACATCTGCATTGTTCACATCTGGTCCCTACTGTCCGCCAGAAACTCGAATATCCAGACAGGAGAACTCGGAGCTGACAGAATTTCCCATGTGTTTTTCTGCTTTACACACAAAGATAGCTTCTCTTTGCTAAGCCCTAATTTTCTTCCTAAAGGTTCAAAACAATATTTTTTTTGGTTAGTGAAAACAGGTCTGCTGACAATTCCTCCCCCATTAATCCCACACTTAGGAGAATAACCTCATATTGAATCTGAGTATCAGGCACAAGCCCAAGCTGCTAAGATCTTTAGCACTGGCAGCACTCGGGAGTGTCAGCACTCTCCCTCTCTCTGGTCTGCATACTTTGCCAGCTGCAGCATTTACAGCAGTCTCCCCCTTCGGCATCAGTGCTAGCTTAAGGAAAACGTGGCACACAGCAATCTGCCTGATGAGCTGCCTAGGTCAGCATCTTAGCATGCCCAGCATAAAAGGTGCAGCACCCTTTTGGCTCATCCTGTTCCCTCATCATTTCCTGAGCACAAGGTGCTGATCAGTCACTCAGGAGGGATGTACATCCCCAATAACATTCTACAAATATGCTGGAGTTGCCAACCTTCCTAACTTGCTTTTTAGCTTTGTTTTGTGCTCTGCCACCTCTGACCCCTACTTTTGCACTTGGACTGGGCTTCCCCGAGAGTGTTCTGATCATTCCTTTTCCCCTCTATACTCTGATGGAAGCAGATTATATGCAAGTCTCATTTTGCAGTGTAGTTTTGGCACACCAGGACATCTGGCATCATGGAATTTTGCTTTGCCCTTGTACTGGGTGAGAAACCTGGAGACTCATTCTAGCACTGCAAACCAGAGCTGCACAACTTTGCTTCAACACAAGGAAGATTTTCATCCCTCCGAAAGGAGTATAAAAAAGGCACTTAGCATTGCTTAGTGAGAGCGTTTGTGTGCACAAAGGACACACTAAGTGCCTGTGTCAGCAGGATTAGCATGCTAACAGTGGCTGCTTGTCTTTGGTCTTTCATGGTTGCAAGGCCCATGTGCCTCCCTGCTGTCCACTGTCCTGTGCCCAGGGCACACCTGACTTCTTCCAGGGTGCAGGGACAGAAGGGTGGAAAATAGTATCACCCCCTGCTGCCTCCCTGTGGGGATAATGAAAGTTTAGCACTGGAAAGTTTAGTCCAGACTTTCTTAAAGCAATCAGCAGTGTGTGCCGTGAACTTTCCTCTACTAAAATAAAGACACAACTCAGATTGTGTTTCCATGTAACTCCTACCCTTGAGTGGGTATGATTTGAAGACAAATAGGTAGAAAGCCTTCTGCTGCTTCTTGATTCATTCACATAGATAACTTTACAACATCTTATTCTGTATAGACATAAGGAATAACAGCGGATGGGCTTAAAGCTTACTCTGAAGGTGTCTGAGCACTAGCATGGTCTGGAGACAAAATCAGTGCATTTCATAGTTCAGTTTCTTTCTCCATGCCTGGAAAATGTACTCTGGCACAAAGCAAGTGTGTATCAGAGAGCAGACAATTCCCCAGCTGCAGCACCTCAGCCAACGGCTCACTAAGGAGAGCTTTGCTGTGAGAAGAGGCTCTGCTAAGAAGGGTCTGCTGTGACAAGAGGTTCAGTGGATGCTGGTTTGCCTCCTATAAGCATTTCTTGCTAGGTCTGCTCACTACTCCCTACAGCCACTCCTGGACAAGTGCACTCCAGAAACAACAAATCTGTTCATCATTCTCAGAATGACTAAGTACTGCTTATGCTGCTACTGTCTTTTCCCCTTCTCTGATTGCTGGTCACAAAGCTCCTACAAGTGTCAGACTGCCAGAAATAATGTTTCACAAGAAGTGTCCCTGATGTTGTGAAACATTAAGAAACACAGAGGAGGAAACAAAAAATTATACTTACAGAACCATAAGCTGAGAAGACAAAGGGTGTCTTCTCAGGGAAGGCACAGACATGAACTCACTGAGTAGCCTCATGTTGTGTGTTCCAAAGCAACTCAATTCTACCATGGCCTTCTGTGCTTTCTGTGCCATAAAGAAAGAAGCCTCTGAACTCCTGACAATACAGTGCCCTGGAAAGTCATCCAGAAACAAGAGCTTCCTAGGTGGTAACAGCCACACTGAACACTTCAGGAAAGATCGTTGAAGAAACAGGGGAAGTGCTTGGCAGCACAAACGTGAGGCTGATCCAGCTCTAGAGAGCAGCATGAATGGCAGTGTGAAGATAAGGGATACTACAGATAGGGTGACAGCAATAGCTCAGCACCGGGAGATGCCCAGAGGCTAAAGCATTGAGGCTGCACAAGAAGTTTTCTTGCTGCTGAGATGCCCATTGGCTGGGGCAGGATCTCCAGCCCTGGGAGAGCAGGCTCTGCTGCTATATCTAGCTGCAGCTCCCCGAGCAGGCAGAGACAGGATCGCAGCAGTGCTCTGGGAGGGCTCTAGGATGGACCTGAAGATGTTCCTGCTCTTCACTGTATTTCTGCTTCACTCTGCCCTGGGCTTCCCTGTTCAGGTGAGAATATCTCCATGCAATTGTGCTACATCATCTAGCTGACCTGTTCTGCCTAGAGTGAAGCTGAGAGACCCATTTTGATAACTTTACTACAAGAAAATAGGAGTGATATGATATATAAAGGCAATCTGATAATTTAGTTCCACGCTTTGATGCTATTGTTGTGGCATTTGTGAGCTCTGGAAGAATAATGTCTTTTACCTATTGGTTTTGCAGGGGATCTATGAAAACAGCACAACAAGTAAGTAGGATTTCTGCTGTATTTTAAAGGTGGCTGTTATTTCTTAACTGTATCACACACTTTGTTCTGACTTGGCCTTAGAGCATGTGGAAGCACTGACTCAGGCCCTTTGAACAAGGCTATGTTTCATAATTTGCTATTGAGCTAAGTGCAAATGTGTTTTCACGAAGATGTGTTTTACACAGACTTTGGGGTATGGTTTGCTGGGTTAATTTAGATGTGCTTTCACAGGCTTGAAAATAACATTTTAATAAGACATTTTGATACCTTTTCATTAAGTTGAGTGTTATAATAAAAGTGCTAATCATTGACCGTTTCATTAAGTTGAGTGTTATAATAAAACTGCTAATCACTGACCTCTGCACTGCCTACCTCAGTGCAGCTGTAGGAAAGGGATGTCAGGCACCAAAGAAAGCTTTGCTTTGTTCTGGGATGGAAAACACATAGGACAGGCCTAGCTAAATAGCTTTTAGCAACTCATAAAATACAGAGAGGTAACTGCAGATCTCTGGGGAAGGTCAGTGAAAGAAACCTGTAGGTAGACTTTAACTACAGCAAGAATCTGCCCGGCTGGGAGTGATGTGTGTGAGAGGAAGGCACCTTGGAAAAATTTGCTTGACATAGTTGAGTAAGTGAGTGACAAAAGAAAATGGACCAATTTTTCTGTTGGCCTCTCATTTATGGCACAGAAACAAAGGCATGTTTTAAAATCACTGCTCAGTGTGTTCAGAAGGGACCAAGAGACATACTTGCTTCAGTTCAAGGCAGTAGTCAGTTGCTGGGACCCAAAGTTCCACATTACTGGGACAGTTACATGCTGTGAGTTCTATATCCCCATTGTTTCTGCTTTTTGTACCTTTTGAGACACTTCTCAGTATTTGCAGCCCAGAGAAAACGTGAGCTGCATCCCTTTTAAAGCTGTATTACGCCAGGTGTTCATCTCATCAAGAGTGTGGCAGATGCCTCCTTTCTGTATTACGCCAGGTGTTCATCTCATCTAGAGTGTGGCAGATGCCTCCTCCGGTGCCACATTTAGGTTTTAAACAGGAGTTGCAGGTTTTATGTGCCTAGGACTCTGCAGCATCATTTTCACTGACTTTGAGTACTCAGTTAATCTAGTGCCTCTTGGGTGCATTAATCCTGCATCCATCTCCAAAATGTGCTTCCCTGTGGAATGTTTTTAGATGCTGTGGATGTCTCTGGTGTGAAGAGGGAAAGGTGCTGCAAGGTGTGACACAGTTTCACACATTTCTGTTAAAAAGAGATGTGGTCAAAAAAATGGAGCACGGATAGATTTGGAAATAAGAACTATTTGATGAGTGTTCTGTATGTCAGTGTGGAATAGGAAAACCAGTTAAAATTGCTTGATATTTTGTCAAGGAGGAGAGCAATTGTTAGCAACTGGCAGAGATTGCCAGCCAGGCCTGCAGCATCCTCACCATGCTCACCAACAGGTCAAACAAACTGTGCTCAGGAATAACCCAGATAAAACTGTTTCTGCCTTAGGGAGCACAGACAAACTGGTGACCTCTGGAGCCCCTTGCAATCCACAAACTTTCATGACATTAGACCAGAGAGGTCAGACGTGTACACAGCAGGTCAGATTGGCACTTCCAGTTTGTATCTAGAAACTGATATTTGGTAAATCCAAAGATGTCACAGTAGAAAGGCAACTTAGGAATCATTCCAAGCTGCTGTCAGGCACATGCAGAACTGAGGTAATTTGCCCCATGCCAAGTTATAGCCTTCATTCTGTATTATAGCTTTCCTCTTGGGCACTGTGCAAGCAGCAGGGATTGCTGAGCTGGTTAACCTGCACCTGGAGCACAGAAATCTAGGACAAAGTGGATTTTTGTCCCTGGTCTCTTTTGTCATTTTCCACACTGAAGCTGATAAAATGCTTCACTGACTTTTAGCAGGTAAATGACCAGGATTCTGTCCCTCAGCATGATCTGATAGGAATTTTTGTAGCTGTTTGTCTAAAGATGGATTTAATTTCTGTACCCATGGTTAGTGCACTGCATTCCCCCCCAAGCAAAGGGACCTGCCAGAGGCATTCCCATGGCTGAGGGGTCCATGGTACTCAATGCTGTGAGGTTGCATTCAGAATCTAATTTGTCCCTTCTGTTTGTCTTTTTTTCCCTTGCTTTTGCAGCAACAGAACCTGCTGAGGTAAGGACAGATAAATCAGCTTTTCTGGTCACTTGGGGGTTCAGCATTGTGAAAAGTAAGGTTAAGACTCTTGTCCACCACCTGTATCTCTACCTATGCAGCGAAGTGTTCTCAGATCAGTACTGTGCCAGAGTGTGTCCCAAGCTTCCTCCACACTTTGGATATCCATATTGCCAAGGTGCCAAAGAAGAATAACTACCACACCATGGTGCTTCTTTACACATGGCACAGTATACAAAAGCTCAAAACTGCACTGGTGACAGAAATGTTATGTGATAGCCTAGACACTTTTGATACTTTCTATGCTAAATTATTTATTTTATGTTCTATTATAAAGTGTGAGATAAACCCACTGTCTCATTCTTGCAGGTTACTACTACACAAGAGGATATATATGGTATGTATTACTACATCTACAAGGATGTCTTTGAGAGGATATACTGGTAGCTACTCAGTTGCCCCAGGAATTAGCACATGCTTAACAGAAATTAACCTTCAGGAAGGAATTTTAAATTCATTCACTCACCACAACATTTCATGCCAAGCAAAGATTCTTGGGTTTGGCCAGTTGTTATTTTGCTAAAAATGGTTCTTCTTAAATAATGTCCTAATTTAAGTCAGTTCCAGAGGTTAGAGAGAGCACAGGAACTTGTCCCTCTGCCTTGTATTGATGTCAAGTCTTGTTGCATAGTGCTCAGTTGGCTGATTTTGCTTGCAAGCCTGTCCCTGATGTTGGGCTTAGCTCAGACATCAATCTGACCCTTGGAATAGGAATGCAGTTCCAAGTTAACAGGTTTCAAGGGTTTCTCAAGAGGTCACCATGTCCAGCAGGAAGCAGCAGAACTGCTCTCCATCCAGTTTTGCTTCTGGTGTCTTGTGTTTGAGGTCTGAGTGTGAGCTGTGCATTTAGAAGTAAAACTGCTGTCAGAGGCCTTAATGTTAGGGGAATAGAAAAAGGGAGAGAGGGAAATAATTATAAGGCAATGTCTCTTTGGAAAAGGGAGAGAGGGAAATAATTATAAGACAATGTCCTTTGTCCTGGATTAATGCCAAAATCACCACAGCTGGGAAGTTGTCCAGAATGTGTCACCAAACAAATGTCCAGAACACCCTGCCAGTCTCTGGATAGACTCTGTAGGTTTTCCATGCATCACTGCAAGCAGTACATGACCTGAGTCAGGGTTAAAAATCAGGATTCATACACTCCCTCGGAATGAGAAAGTGATACTCTTCTATTTCTGCACAGAATCTCCATTGCCCACAGAGACTGACGGCGAGGATGAGGATGAGGTTATTTTTAACAGAATTCTGAAGGCTAACCAAGGTAATGCCACCAAAGCTCTGTTTACAATGGGTCTGTGTTTGTGGCTTTCTGGGGTGATGTGGGAGGTATAATGTCTTCCCAGAATCTGTGCAAATATTTTGCCCATCTTACACACCACTGTGTAAGAGACACCCAGAGACAGCCACTGGCACCACTGTGTGGTCAAATCTATGGTGTCAATATTGAAGATGCTGCCAGGTGTGAAGGCCAACTGAACTGTCCAGACAGTTTGTTCAGCTTTAGCTCTCAATGTTTTTGCCATTCTTTTGACATACAGAAACAATTGGGATGTTTTGCTATTTAACTGCCTCTTTCTTGAATTCAGGCATCACTTGCATGCACTCATCATGTGGCTTTGGAGTGCAAATTCCTAGATAAGCTAGTCAGTTCCAGGCTCCCTGCTCCAGACTTCCAGTTCCTTGATTCTTCCAAATATTTCCTGACCAATCAGCTTGTCTTTCTTGCCTTTTTCCCTGCAGCAGCCATTGAAGTAGCTTTACTACTGTCTGTAGAAACAGACACGAAACATTCCTGCAGCTTTCTCCTGACAACACCCACTTCTCTTTTTGGCTTGCTTACCTTCTTGGGCTTCCTTATTGGCATCTCCTGCCCCTGCCCAGTGCCCTTCCTGAGGAGACACTTGATGCTGCTCATTCAGTGTCATGTGATGGATGATTAAATGCACCAAAGAGCACCATCCCCCTTACTACTGCAACTGCTTTCAGTCATTCCCTGTCCTGCCCCAACACCATCCAACAGAATTGGAGCTTCCCACCTCACCTGTTTGCTGAAGACACAGCAGCAAATTTAGGGAAGCAGATAATGTCCATCTAGCCAAATAGCCTGTTTTCCATGCCAGTCAGGAGCAGCTGCTTAGGGGAAAATAGGAAAGAAGGATTAGTAGGCATTCATTGACCTATGGCTCATGTGTTTCCACCCTTTCTCTCTCAACACAGACAGCTCTCAGTTCTTGCAAGAGGGTGATATAGTTCCACGGAGGAGTCGCAGTGCCATCAACTGTCGCAACTGCAACTGGCCCCAGTCAAGTGATGGCATCGTTCATGTTCCTTATGTCCTGGATCCTACTTATGGTGGGTGTAAATTACAAAAGTTCTTCTTTCAAAATTTTAAATGGATTTTATCCAATAAACTTCAGGTAGAAACCTACTTCTAGTGGCCACACGAACAGTTGAATAAATCAGTTCTAAGGCTTTACTTGTGCTGTGTAAACACAAATGAATTTTAAGGTACAAAGACCTGAACTGGAAAAAGGTCAAATTTCCTCAAGAAGTTTCCATCCCTAATGTTTTGGGATTGGTCTCTGGGAGACAAGAATGATCATTCCCTTTAATGGTACCTGCCTTTATGAGGGTCATGCCTGTTACACTGAGGTTTCAGTGGACTCTTTTTCACTAGGAGAACAGTTTCCCACATCTGTCTCCAAGTAGCCAATAAGCAATAAGAAGATACATCAATAGTCACCACCATAATTAAGAACAAGTAGTTGAAAAAAAAAAAGGCACCTGAATCCTTTTAGACAAACACTTGGATAAAGAGGATCTTGTGCTAGGCTGTTAATATCTTACATGAAATTCATGACTGAGCAGAAAGCAAAAAAGAGCCTAGGCTAAGGTTTCTGTTCCTCATTTACCTGTTTTTGAGAGCATGTGAAATCTGAGTGGCAACTGCCACTGCTCTTTTGTGACCGCTAAAAGTAACCCTTTTTGCTCCAGAGGAGAACCACATCAAAGGGATTCATGATGCCATGGCAGAATTTGAGGCACTGACCTGTATTAATTTTGTGAAGCGCAAGACAGAACGCGACTACCTCAACATCAGATCTGCTGATGGGTGAGTTGAGTGATAAATTGACCAATTATTTCTACACTGGTTTTCAATTCTTCACTACACTTACTTTGTGTAACCCCCAAAGAGGCTTTTGTTTTCTCCTTGGATACTTTGCTAGTGCAAGGACTTGGCAGGACCATCAGGAACTCACTGCAGGCACTGAAGTAATGCAAATCATGGGAAAGCACCAATAAGGTGGAGAGAATATCTAAGATCATGTTTTCTGTGTGATATAATGCACACTTGAGCACAACATCTATCAGATTACTGTAGGTCTTACTTAGGTAAACCAAATTTCAGCTTATGGAATGAAGAGTTCTCTGATTCACAGTCAAGGTCAGAATTAGAGCCCATGAGAAAACTGTTCAGCATCCATTACCTGAAAGTGTTGCTCATGTCAGCTCCAGCTCTAATGCAATGTTCAGTATTTTCAGAAAAAATTGCTATTTCTAGGGAGGCAGAGTCACTGTAATGCTGGAATTCAGGAGCCTCTGTGCTAATGAAGGTCATCCAGGAAGATTTAGCGATGATCACACTGTTCATTCTTTTCTATGCCATGGTCAGTTTTGCCTCTGCAGACTCTGAGTGTCACAGTGGAGAGGAAGAAATCCTTCCACTCCCACAAGAGGTGCATGAAGCAAGGCTCTCTGTTCTGTCCCTTTGCCTGCCTGACAGTAAAAGTCCTATAAGTCTTCTGTTGGTGTTCAATGCCTCTCGCAGCTGCTGGTCCAACTATGGGAGAGTAGGAGGTGGACAGACTGTCTCTGTGATGAAAGGAGGCTGCATGTGGAAAGGAATAATTCAGCATGAACTGGAGCATGCTCTGGGCTTTTTGCACGAACATTCTCGAAGCGACAGAGATAAACACGTAAAGATCATGTGGGAGTACATCAGTCCAGGTGAGAACCTCTGAACTCCTCTGTGTAGAAACCGGTGTCGATACGTCCTACTGCTCCCATTGCTCCCTCCTTCCCTGAAGGGAGTAGGTGGGAAGCATACTCTAAGTATGATGTCATGTATTACAGCTGACAGGTCAGACTTCAAGAAGTTTGAAAACTCCAATAACCTGGGCCTTCCGTACGACTATTCCTCAGTCATGCACTATGGCCCGTAAGTAGCAGCATGGCATTGCTTTTCTGGGAGCTCAGATATTACACTGGAACTATTTTCTTTCATAGCTCTCTCCTAACTGCCACTTTCCCCATTTCTAACACTCTGAGTCAGTCCAGACAACCCACTCCCTAGGATTAAGTGAGCTTTCCTTTAGGGAGCCCTTCACAGTTGACCTTGGAGCAAAGGAGGACATCTGGACATTGATTCTGCTTACTGTTGGGCATCTTAATCAAACCTATTCCAACAGCTCTATTAGTCACAGCAACATCTCATGTACAGTTCTTGTTCCTCCTCCAAAACTTGCCATCTAACCCTGAAATAAGTTATGGTGCTTAAAGGACATCATTTTTCATGTGTTTTTTTTTCAGATACACCTTCACTAACACCACTGGGAAAGCAACTATTGTACCAATTCCTGACGGATCAGTACACATTGGACAGAGGCAGGGGCTGAGCAACTTGGATGTGGCCAAAATCAACAAACTTTACAACTGCAGTAAGTGTCTCAAAACCCTTTAAACTCCCACTCAGACCTTGGTATGTTACAGAGGCAGCAGTTTCTCATCAAAGACTGTGAGACTATTCTCATAAGTTCATGGTACCCATTAGGGTTACACTGGCAGAGAATGCAAAGTGAAGCTGGAGGCACATTGTGACTAGTGAGAAAATGGTTTCTGCTTTGAAATTCAATAGAACACATTCACTAATGACATAAGTGTCTGATGTGCAACTGCACTAGCTGCACAGCACATTACTTACTTCAGTGGAGTAATCTGGTTTCTTACAGTTCAGGACACAACTCTAAATCTCCAGAGAGTCTGACATCACTGTTCCTCATGGCATTTGGGATTTAAGACCTAAGTCAAACCAAAACAGTTGTAAGCTCCTCTGAACTGGAAGAGTTTCATGATGGCTGTCCAGTTTTCAAATGTTTAAGCTGTCATTCTAAATTTGTATATTTAAACTCTTTATGTTTAAACTCTGCTAGGAGAAATTCTCCTGTGCAGAAATTTATTCAGTCAAAGGGAAAACCCAAGATGAATAAAGTTTTGCCCCTTGCACCTCCACATTCTCCTCCTAAGCTTAGAATTTAAGCCCCGCAGGGAAATCATATTTGGGCTTGACTCTTCTGATATCACTGGACTTCCCCTTATCAGTGGAAGACACTTTTTATAGAGATGTGGGAAGGCATCCCTTGCTAAACCACAGAGTTAATCAATAAAAACTGATGCTTTTTTCCAAGCACTGCTTTCTTTGCCACTTGGATGCATTATGTGAAAATTAGAACACCATGAGTCTTCATTTTAATCAAGATGTGCCAGTTCTCTGAAATGAATTTTGACAGACCAGAAAATTGAGATCAGTCCATCCTGGAGATTGTAGCTGTAAATGAGTGAAAGTTTCTGCCACTGGTGCTGAAGCAAACATTTCTTTCTCAGGCCGTTGCAGCACTATCCTCGACGCACCCTCTGGGTTTCTGAGATCTGCCAACCACCCAAGAAATTACTCAGACAACACCAACTGTGTCTGGCTCATCCGAACCCGATCCAGGAAGGTAATCACAGGTTATTCATGGGCTTGGAATATGCATGAACCTCTTTCTATGTTAAGCATTTTGAGCTTTGTCTGCACAGCAGCTGCCAGATGAGATCTTCCCCATAAGAGAAATTTCAGACTAGTCTCTACTTCTTCCTGTGTCCTTAAGCAAGGTATAGGCACAGACAACTGCAGAGTTGTGATTTTGAAAAGCCTCCATATGTTGGGCTTCAGGTTTGCAAAATCAGGAGAAAGCACTCTGAGCTTGGGAACACTCAGTCGTTAGATCTGAGCCCTGCTACCTCAGGGCATGAAAGGCAAGGCTGGGAAAGCAGTTGCAGTTCCTGCTTGGCTACAGCTTAGATTCTGTCAGCTTTAAAGGACAGTCCATGGAAGAAGTACACATGCATATTAAAGGCTGATTTTCTCTTTCCTTCCAGGTTTCCCTGCAGTTTCAAGCCTTTGAGCTGCAGAAAACCAGAGGTTGTCAGGGTGATTATGTTAAAGTTTATGATGGATCCAGCAAGTCTTCTCCAGTTCTAATGGACAAGACCTGTGGATCAAAGATACCAAATGACATAGTTGCTTCTGGTAGTCTTATGCTTGTAGAGTTCATCTCAGATGGTGCTGATACAGCCTCTGGTTTCCAAGCAACCTTTACTGCTGGTAAGTCTGAGAACAAGGAGAATGGCAAGAAAAACAGTCTGTGTCAAATCAACCTTCTTATTCACTCAGGAAAAACACTGAGTAACTGCTCTCCACAAAGGCCACCACTTCCTACCTTGCTTTTGCTATAAGGATCAGTTCCACACGGATCCCATTGATTTGCTCATGCAGATGGGGCTGTGCAGGACAAGTGGTATTAGCCAGATGATTCACTGGCTGCCTTGCCTTTCAGATATGTGCCATTCCAAAGCACGTGCCAATGAGGGGAATATCAATTTGATGTTACTGCTAGTGTTGCTAGCACAGTAGAAAGACAATAAATCTCAATGCATCATTTCAATATATTGTTCCTCTGAAAAAGATGCAAATTTTAATCACAGTTCAGAGGGGAAACAGATCTATGGTGAATGAGCTCCCCCAGCCCTATGGCAGGAAGAGAGGCAGCATTTCCATGGTCAGGACCCCTGGAATGTGTCCAGCTAAAACACATTTTCTTCAGTCCCAGGTAATTAAGAACTAAGACCACAATTAGAGCCTGAAGTCAGCGCAGGGTTGAGAGTTAGCTTGTGCCAGCTGGAGCGAAGAAACAACTGTGCGTGCAACTGGTGCAGCTTGCATTGCTATGGAAGAAAGCACAGCAGTGTCATAGGACCTCGTGTTTGCCATGGGATAAGAACATGCACACAGTTTGCATAAATCCACTGACATGCAGAACTGGGTTGTATACCCAAGCCAGACCAGCAATTTTGCATTATCTCTATGTAGGATCTCTTCCTTTCCACTGTAGCTATGGAGGGAAAGAAGGATAAGAAAATTCACCATGCCACTTTGATGTGCCCACAATAGAAACATTCCTAGCTGCCAGATGAAATGTGATTTAGCATTTATGTACCTTAGAGATGCTACAGTTTGTTCAGAGACCTCTGAAAGCTAAACATTCTCTTGTTTCTCTCACAGTGAGGAACCAAAGAAGACTTAACATCCACAACTGACTTGAGGAAGATCCTGTTCTGTGAATATTGAAATTGTGTGTTTCCTACTTTGCTCCTATCCTGGCTTGGATCAGTATGAAGTTTATTTCTATTAAGAATCGAAGTTTTTATCTTCCTGAGAAAGTTTATTCTCCAAGCCATGTAAATGTACCAATTCTATGCATCTGTGTGCTCCTCCTTTCATCTGCACAGTTAAGTTATTACCTCCTTCTATTTAACAATTGAATAAAAACCTTCATTAAAAAAAGTTTCCATTTCTGTTTTCCATTATTCACTTCCAGCCACACACACAGTGTGGTCACTCAGATACAGGGATGTCTCTCAAGCATTCCACTGACATCAGTGTGGGTTCAGTCAGCTCCCTGACACCAGCTGCAAACTTTACAAATTCAGTTTATGCTCTTCACAGTCTGGACCATGCATGGGACTCTTATCCCAGTGCAACATTCAAGGTTCTAAAAGTGACATCTCCCTTACACAATTCTGTTACACGTTTCAGGTGCTTCCTACTGCCTCTTTCCTTGAACAGTTCTGCTTGGCAGGGACAGCTGAGGCTGCTTGTTCAGCCACAAGTCACTTTTGGCCCACAGAGACAGTTAAGCCTATCACAGGACTAGCAGTGTCCTAGGCAATGCTGCCAGGCTTCATGTACACACTCAGGGAAGAAATCTGTTGTCAGGCAAGAAGCTAATCTCTTCTAATCAACTAGGGAGGACAGAGCAGCAAGTGCCAGAGCTCATGGAGAGCTAATTTCATAGATTTGCCTGCAATCACACTTGTAAAATTACATTCTCTTGACCAAGACAAACCTATAACAGATCTGAGAACACAATTGGCTGCTATTTTAATCTGCAGCGTAGACAGAGAGTCAGATGTATGGCCAACCTGGTTATTTAATGCTTGTATTCTTCAGTCTGAATAAAAGCAAATGCTTTTCCTGTTCTTACCCTGAAACACTAGAAACCTTGACATTTTCTCATAGAAATACATTTCTAGAAAAGAACAGTGGGAAGTGAATTTGAATCTCTGTAAAATTTACATGGCAAATGAAAAATTATTAGTTTCTCTTATTTTGTTAAAGGAGGCACCAAAAGGCTTCATCTGGAAGAATTTTCTCAAAGCCCTGTCTGTATTTGTACTGTGTGATGAAGAACCAATCACTTCTTGATGGTAGAGAGATTTTCATTCCATTGCAGACTGCTCCTTTGCCCACAGTGGCTGTGCAAATGCCTCTGAACATTGCTGGATGTGTTCAGCTTCTGGTGCATTTTTCTCGTTACTCAGCAATCAAGTGTTGCTCTCAGGGCATCACAAAAGGATTAATCCTTCTGAAGTGTGGGTAAAAATGCAGTTCTAGAGAAAAATATCTGCCAGTTGTTGTTTCCTGAGCCGCTGCAAAACAAACTGGAGGAAATAATACTGCAAAGCCACTTGGTGGGGACCAACACCCCAGCACCTTTTTGGTGGGATTAAGGTGCTGCATAGGGTGATGAAAAGGCAGTTTCAGGTGAGTTAGATACTTTCCCTTGAAGAAGGAATAATGATTTCAGTGAGAGTTCTGAAATACTGTTGGCAATGGGTGGAATGTATAGCTCTGATCATCTGTGTACTGCTATAATTGCTATAAATAATTGAGATTTTCTTTTCAAGCTAAGTGATTGTGTCTAGAAAAAATGAAACCCAGTGAATGTTAGGAGTCTGTGGTTTCCCCTTCTAATTCCACAGGAAAAGGAGCCATTTCCCAGCCAAGAGGCAGTAACACAGTCCAGGACTGCACGGGTTCAGTCTGAGCCTTGTGTCCCAGGACAGGGCTAAAGGTGGTGAGAGGCTGAGCTCAGGTTCAGCCTGGTGATGTGACCACTCAGTTGACCCAGGACAGCAGCTCAGGATGCTGTAAGCAGCCCAGGACAGTCACTGATTCCACCTCCCCTGGGCTTCCAGCCATCACTGGAGTGTACAGGGGCAGCATTACTAGGCTGTCTGTCCATGTCTGAAACCATTTCTAGCCTGAGGAGTTTAACATCCCCTTGCTGTGACCTTCACCCCAATTTCAACCTATTGCCCTACAGCAGAAATGTAACCTTTCTCTCATGCAAGTGGGGGTTTCTCTCCAGCTCTAGGGACATGCAGTGTGCTACAGACAGGACTGCAGGACCATCAGTGAGTGTCAGCCTGGAGAAGGCTTCATGGGGCTACTCCTGAGTGGGTCGAGTTGTGGTTTTCCAAGCACTCATTGTCACACACACATCCACACAACGGGTCACGCCTGCCTCCTCTTCCTCATCCTTGATTATCTCCAGAAGAAACATCAGATAACGCAGCAAAACTATCTTAGAAACCCCATCTTGCTGAAGTAAATGCCTGTTGATGAAGGGAGTACTTCAACAGGGAGAGCAGCATCACAAATCACAGCTGAGATTGTCCCAGACCCATATACAAGCACTTGCAGTCTCCTCTGGGACAGCAGTGGACATCTCCCTCAGGCAGTGCTAGTCTGGAAGCTCTAGGGTCAGGACAGAGAGTCCCTTGCAGGTTTATATTTATGGGGTGCTGCACGAGAGGTGTGAAGTTGGGACCTGTACGTCTGCATCAAATCCGCTTCCGGCGTATGGAAACCTTCACGTACATAAAGCCTCCTAGGGACCTAGCAGAACATCTCTTTTGGGACACCAGTTCTTCCCCCAAACCACATCCATAGCAATCCAGCCAGGTCAGTCCTCGTGGAGAGATTCTTAACAGAAATGGAAAGACTGGCAGGAATGTGGTGTGGATGGAAATGTGCACGTGCGAGAAAGCACTGGAAGAAGCAGCCAAACAAGGGCTACAGGAACAGCCTGTATTGATAACAAAGGACATCATTCCCATGACATTGCTCCCAGGAGGATCACAGAAGAATGCAGTGTTTATGGCATGACCACAGGGTCTATACTCCATTCAGGCAACAGCACAGATGCCTTGTCAGTGGAAGATCCTGAACGCACGTGCCAGCGAGTTTGCAGCTCCTCAATGCACCATCCTTTTTCTGCTACCCCAGCAGGAAAACAGACGGAGCCTTTCAGCAGTGACAAGCAGGTTGTTTGGACATGAGGCTACTCCATGGGGACAGACAAGGCGAGGTCCAAGAGGGAGAAGCTGCAGCTGTATTATATGTGTCATACTGGTGCTTATCCTACTGGAGTAGATTATCACCATCTGGTGAGTAAAGACAAGGTACCCAACAAGTCACAAGTACAAAAGAACATCATTAAAAGATAAGCAGGTGTTTCATTAGTTACGTTTAACCTCTTAACTCTGCCATTTCTTTTTTTTTCAGTCCAGTATTTTCTGAACAAAGTTCTGAGCTTTTCAAGCCTTTTGACTGTTTTTATTTTGCTTTGTTTCGCTAGTGTTTCCATTGACTGAGCAGATTGTCAAGAGAAGGATTATTGATGTTAAAAGAAGCAATGCAAAGAACTGCAAGCAGCAGAAGCTACAAACAGTGAGAGTGGAAGAAGAAACCTAAAACAAAAGTGAAAATGAAAACCAGAAGATGTACATGCTACTGCCTCTTTGTATGCATGTTGTACAACTTCCATTGTTCTTGTGTTTGTGTGCAGATACCAGTCCCTCTGGCAGGGTTAGTTCTTCTCTTTTGGGGACTGATATAACATGAAAAATCCACCCCATAAAAATTCATATTTGAAAAACATTAAGACAGTTCTTGTTCCCACAATTTACAGCTCAAAATCTCAACATTTCTACTGAAACCCATTTAGGTTGTCATACAGTGCCAGTGCTGTTTCAAATGAGAGCTTATACAGTTACTGATGCTTGGCATGGCATGATCTTCAGAGAATTCATGGGAATTTTGCTTATTCATGGAAAGAAAGTGTAGAACATCAGCTGCTGGAAATGAAGCAGAATGGGAGAGTTCTTCTTGGCTTATTGACATTCACTTGAACACTAATTGTGTCCCCCGGGCCCAGAGCAGCCCATGGCCAGCCAAGGGCAAACCCAGCCTAATTTCCTGTGCTGCACTCTGCATAATTCAGTGCTTCATGGAAGGAGAGGGAGCAGCTCTGTCTAGGTGTGCACAGGTGCTGCACAGCCAAGAAAAGCTGCTGTACCAGTGATAAGTGAGTCAGAAAGGAATATGCAGGGAAAAGCAGGCATGGTTGTTGCCAAGGTGCCACATCTGCAACACAAAAAGTAGCACAGACTGAGTTACTTTACTAACTTAGAGCAGTAATCGTGGCGTGTAGAGGAAATAATGGACATTTTACACGTGCAGCAAGTTAAGCCACAGGGTGGAGTGAAGCAGGACCATGGGTGGGAGCTCTAAGGATCACACGGGAAGCAGGGACCGACTAGCAAAGTGCTGCTGTGTGTTCACAACTTGCCTTTTAGAAGAAAATGATTACTAAGTAGTGTGAAGTCTTGAAAAACAGAACTAAGGTTCTCTGGGAGTTTGGTTTCTCTGAACTCCCTTGCATTGTGTTGATATTGATTTTGGTATAAAGCCTCAATCTCAAGCACAGAACAAGTGTTTTTATTGAAAAAAACCATTTAGCATTTTGAAGATGTCCTGACTGCTGAACTGTAAAATGGACAATGCTTTAATCACATTGCAGCTTTTAAAGAACAGAATGGAAATGTTAAGCACATTCTCCAGAGCAAGAGTGAGATACTTAATCCTGAACTTTAAACTCTCAGTCTCGTCTGAGAGAAGGTCAAACAAGGAGCTCTTAGCTGCCAATTTATATTTGAAGCCAAGGCAGGGCATGGGCTGTGTGTGGGGTTTGGGGTGCAACAGGGAGAGCACAGAAAAATGAAGGTTCTGGGAAAAGGGACATGGATATGGGAACAATCGGAGCATCCTTGGACTGGGAGTGCAGTTGTTCATTACGTATGGACAGTTTGTCTGATTGTAGATTGATAATGCTGAGGATGTGGAGACACTGCTCCAGGCTTTGGGAGGACCCAGCTCAGAGCCACAGTGTCTGTTAGCTTTGGTGCAGTGTGGGGCAGGGTGGTCAGCTCAGCAGTGCATGCATTTCTAGGCTGAGCTGAAAAACACAGGTAGAACACTGCCAGCAATTATCTGAGCTCACTCTGGGTAAACCCTCTCAGAATGATGCCAAGCTTCTTATTATCTCCTGTCATACCTAGAGCACCCAGCTTGTTCTAAGTACCTGCTGCTGTTGCTAAAGAAGATCTGATGGTCTGTGCAGGCAGTTAATTTGCTAACTGGAGTCACTGTCTTGGAGGAAAAATATCTCCCTAGTTAAGAGGACTTAGATTCATAAGTAAGTTAGGCCTGTGAGTTACTGTCGTGCAACAGGAAATTGCATATGAATCCTTTGCTAAATTGCTTAAATTGAGCTATTGATTAAGTGCTGTTAAGTTTAAGTGCTGTTAAAACCTCTAGGTTGGGCAGGTCTGGAGCTAAACTTGGCAAGGAGGTCCACTCTGAACCTCGTGACTCAACGGGACGCTCCAACTTATTCCTTTTTATCCTTACACTTTGCTATCCTTACCCTTTTTCATCCCCAGTCTTCACGTGTCTTCTAGCCTCCTCTATCTGCACCAGATACTAAATTTCCTATTCCAGGAGACCTTGTTCCTCTCCTAATCCCAGTTCTCCCTTTGTCCATTATTACAGAACATGCTTTTTTGGAAACATGCAGGCTGGTAAGTGCAGCACCAGCACTGAGCTGGGAGCAAGGTTTTCTGGGTCAAGGGGAAATCACTCCTCTTTTTGTAGAGTAGAAGTTCAAATAAATTCATTTTTGGTCAGGCTTGCAATATTTTGTAACAGACTGACAATTTATTTTGCAGTACTAGAAACAAGCTCACAGGGAGGATGTGGTCTGAAAAAGGAAAGCTGGAATGAAATTGCTAACCACAGACCTAATTTATCTCTGCCCTGTCTGAGGTTGCACCGTGAGTGTTTGGCCTCGGCGGGTCCAGGCAAGGGTGTGTAAATACGGAGCAGTCCCGGCGGGTCTTGCAAGGGTGGTGTAAATACGGAGCAGTCCCGGCGGGTCTGACAAGGGTGGTGTAAATACGGAGCAGTCCCGGCGGGTCTGACAAGGGTGGTGTAAATACGGAGCAGTCCCGGCGGGTCTGACACGGAGCACAGAGCGATCCCGGCGGGAGGTTTCGGAACAAACTGGTTCCCGAGCAGGGCTGGGGGGAAGCACAAACCCGCAGATGGCAGCAGAGCCCTAAATTCAGCGCCAGAGCTCGGCACTGCCAGCGCCCCATCATCCATCCATCATCCATCCATCCATCCATCCATCACCTGTCGCAGGACGCGCTGGGCTGGGCTCGGCGCCGCTGGTGCCTCTGGGTCACTCTTGGGTCGCTGTCTGAGGCTTTTCCTCCCGGATTAAAGAGCAGTTCGGACACCTCTCACAGAGCAGAAGGATGGGTCTGAGCCTCGTGGTGTCCTCCCAGGCTCCCAGTGCAGACACCTCCTATGCCTCTGTTTCCATATTGCTGGGGGGTGTTTCTCCCAAATATTTTGCACCCTTTAGGCTTGCAGCAAGAAATTGACTTAGCTGATAGCATAGTACACCAATACTTCTATAACAGCCAGTTCAGCAGCAAAATGTGACTATTAAAAAAGTCTTTCAGGTGGCAAACACCTAGTTCTAAAGACATCACCCCAGAAACAGAATGAGCAGATGGGTTCAGGTACCTGACAAGATATCCCTACTGACCTACTTGATAGGAAACACTGTTTGCCTTACTTTTACAAGCTCAGTTGTCCTAAGGTGATTCCTTGAGCCTGTCACCTGCATAGGCTCTTTCTTGCTCTAATGCCTTTATCTCCTTTTTATTTCTTTTCTCACCATTGCTAATCTATCTTCTAATTTTTGTTGCCCACCTTACATCTTCATCATGGCTTTGCAAATTCTAGGATTTGGTTTTAATCCAGAACAGTAATGACCAAATGGAGCCTGATGCAGGCAAACTTGTCTTTGTAATGTCTTTATTTTGTGCTAGGCCCTCTACACTTAAGGAATAGTAAACCATGACGTTTTTACTGCATTTCAATGTTTTGGCTGTTCCTCCTGTCTTCCTTGAAGTAACTGCTGTTTTTCCTGGCATTGCTTTGTCTCCGTGCTTAGGTAGTCATTTATTCAGGACAATGACAGTGTCTTCTCACTCTATGTATGAAGTATCTGCATATCATGCTTGTGGAATGGCTGATTGTTGGCAAAGGGCTGTCTATTTTGATACATTTCCTGTCTGGGTTCATCAGAAGGATGAAGTATGAGATTGTTTACTTGCTGCCTGAGTAAGCATAGACTATGAAGCTTGGATACCTTTTCATTTCCAAAGTGTAGGTGTCTCAAGAGCAGTTTTGAAGCACATGGATGGGACAGCTCTATTGGGCTGCTCAGAAGATTTATTCCTCCAAGACAGCAAACTTTGGCCTCTGCTAAAACCTACTCAGTATATAGCTAAATACCTTCAAACCTACTCTGGCCATGGGACTTTTGTTAGTGTTCCATTTCCTGACCTGTAATTTTGTACAGTGTTACTGGATGCTAAAGATTCTTGTGTTTTAACAGTAGGGAAAATTGATCCCTGTAAAGGCTTTGGGATGTTTATAGGTGAAGGGTGTTATGGAAAGTGTTGCCAGTTTTTCTATTTCGTGTCCTGTGAACTGATGGAAGACAGGGAGGGAATGGCAGTTACCCCTCAATATAATACAAACTTTCCTTAGGTAGGACCATTCTGTTTACTGAACACTTCATTCAGTCCCATTGGAAAACCAGTGGTGGCATCTGCTGTTCCCACAACAAGCCAAGGAAGACACCATGTCTCTGCCTGGATGAGTATCCCCCATGGCAAAACAGCAAAGAAGCGATGTGAGAAACAGCTCAGCTGGAAATAATGTCAGCAGCACTGGAGCATGTGGGTTTGTTCCTACTGAGTCCATTGGCGTTTTTATTATTATTATTACTATCTTCATTATTTTATATTTTACTTAATTATTAATCATGCTAATAATAATAGGAGTAGCTCAGCTTCTACTTTTACTGGAATCTTGTAAGTCACATACTTCGACAAGTTGTTGCCTGCTCAGGTCAGTGAGAGTGACACTAAGGGAGAGAGAATATAACACTGCACTGCACGGAAGCCACTTTGCTGGCGATTAGCAGTGGGAAGGGACAGCGAGAAGGGAACAAGAGTAGCAGTAGCTGTGGCTCCAACCTGTCCAGGACTAGCAGTGTGACCCAAGGAAAGGAAGCACCAGCCCATGGCTGAGCCTGAACACTCACCCAAACTCAGTCCATTAACACACAGTTAAGTGAACTGTAGGATCTGAGACCTCTGCAAAATAAAACCAGACTGTGATCGATAAATCCAACAACAGTTGCCAGAGCTGACAGCAGGTTGTGGTTTACAGCAGAACTAAAAACTCTTTTTGACTGACATAGGTGGAAATAGCAGACAAGGAGCCTGGTTAGACTGGGGAGTTTTGCACTGTGCAGTTGATAGACCAGT